GAGAGTATTTAGGACTGTGCAAAGAACACAGACTCTGGTGCTTTCTCATGATGCTTGGCATGTAATTCCTCCACTGCCAGAAAATGGCTTCTTAAAATGAAACAACACTTGAGCTACTGGAGGTGCTGTGGAGACACAGACTGGTACTCACTGTATTGTCTTTTTGCCAGGAAAAAACCCGTTTTCTTCAAATCCCAGTTCTAGTTAGCTACTGAATGTGCTGCAGTTCTTTTTCAATTCAGCTCTGGTTTGTTGGATGAATCATCATCTGGGAGGTTGTTTATATAGAAAGCCTTTAGGATCTAGTATTTGAGAAGAAAGGGAAGGCAGTTTCTGTCATGATTTGTATTTGTTTCCCTTTATCTTTTTAAGCAGCTTTAAGTCTGAGCTGAACATGATCTCCCGTGTGTTGTCATGATTATGCATAAATTAAATCCAAGGCATCAGATGATTCCTTAATTTTGACCTACACTTCCACTGAAAAACCCAGGTTGGAAGCACTGACACTTTACCTGCTGACAGATGCTCTACAAGTAGCAGTTTCTGCATTAGAATCTAATCATAGTTCACCTCACTGATATCTCACAGACATCATATGAGGTATAACTGCAAGAAATGTGAATCTTGGTGCTCCAGTTCTGGAAGGATTCATTTCATCTTTTTAAAAGCTTTATAAATAGTGACTACTTATCACTCCCTGACAATAAACTCCTTTTATCTTGTCACAAAACAAGTGGAAGTGCTTCAGATCAGCTCTCCTGATCCAGGAGTCCCACACAGGACTTGTTGCTTTGTCTGTGAAGATGAGGTGTCTGCTGAGGGGATTCAGGAACAAGAGCAAATACTGTGAAAGTTAATACATTCCCCTTTTATGGTGTCTGCTATTGATTTTATTCTTCTTCAGGTTGCTTCAATAAGGCAACATCTTGCATCAATCTATGAGAAGGAAGAAGACTGGAGAAATGCAGCACAAGTGTTGGTGGGGATCCCTTTGGAAACAGGGCAAAAGTATGTTGGACACAGTTCTGTGTGGTTAGATGTATTTGTTCTCTTTGTACTTCACTAGACCAGCAAGTGAGAATTTTGGGGTTGCAGATTTTCCCAGGGTTTCAGTACTTCAGATCAGAACTGCTGTCAGATGACAAAAGTATAGCTTGGTGACTGTACATTGCAGGAGTTTAGTGGGTTGAAATACTGCCCCAGAAGTTATATGCTAGTCCTGTTGATAAACAATCTTTTTTTATAGCATTTTGCAAAAATGCTTCTAAGGTTATTGACAGATTCAAGAAGGGTGGCACTTCTTCCATGTGTCGACGTTCTCAGTTCAAAATGAGGGCATAGTTTGAAATTGGAGACTAACAAATACAGTTGAGGATTCTCCTCTGTGTTTGGGGGGTTTGTTTTGATTTACTTGTTTGGGTTTTTCTAGGTCTAGAACCCTTGCTGTTACTTTTCTCTGGCTGTCCTTTCTCTGTTTGCACATAGAAGGAATTGCTGTAGGTTTTGCACTGCAAGTTTGCTTCTTAACTCAACTGGCTCACCACTTGTGGCAGACTTGCAGCCCAGATTATTAGGGTGCACATTTGTGTCTTGATGGACAGCATTATTTCTAGTGATGTTTGTAGGAGCCAGTTCTATATTGGCATTCATCTCACATTTCCTAACCCTCTGCGTGAGCATTGTGTGTTTAGAGCAGTTAAGAGCCAGTTCTGGAGCAACTCTGAGCACTTGCTTTTCTCTTTCTCTACAGACAGTACAATGTAGATTATAAACTGGAGACCTACCTGAAAATTGCCAGACTGTATCTGGAGGATGATGACCCAGTTCAAGCAGAAGCTTATATTAATCGAGCCTCCCTGCTTCAGAATGAATCAACTAATGAACAGTTGCAAATCCATTATAAGGTTGTCTAACTTGCTTTATTGCTTTCTCTTTCTAAAGGGAGATGATTCCACAGTGAGGTGTTGTTATGCATTGCCACTAAAACTTTCATGATGAGAAAAGAGACAGAGGGAAAAGCTTCTAAAAGGGAAAAGCTTCTAAATGGTTTTGGGAGCTTGAGAGACATAGCTTAGAAATAATTTAAGGACTCTTAACTTATGATTTGGGGGATAAGTCTGTAAAGGTTTCTTAAATGCCAGCTTTACTGATTGAGAATAAAATTAGGCTTCAAAACCTCTGAAATATTGCTGAAAATATTGCCTTCACCTTTGTAAATCTAAGAGGGGGAAGAAATTTGCATCCAGTATTAGGGACAAGGGAAGCCCTCCCACCCCTCCCGTAATTAAGTAATAAGTCCTGTCCATAAAAGTAGCTTTAAGTCTTAAGCAGTAAGCTAACTGCTGATATTTCTGCTTATTTGTGGGTTTACTGTGTACATAGTTCATACACAAATTTCTCAAACCATTTTAGTAACCACAATGAGCAGTGTTGACAATAGTGTAGTGGTATTGGTCAAGTGTGGTGGTGTTTAAAACCCTACAACACAAAGCAGATGTGCCATGAGCTGTAACTCAGGCTCTGGTGGGTTTGGTTTGTTGGGTTTCTCTTTCTTTTTTTTTTAATCCCTTCATGCTGCATTTTAAGGTGTGCACTCAGTTGGAAGTGTAAGTATTTTCTGGAAGTTGTGGAAATGCACAAAGGAAGGAAGAAATAGCAGGTGCTGTTAACAGTACTGAAAAGGAAAAACAAACACTTGAAACATACGAATTGCTACCAAAGTGCTACCTGCCAATGTCAGCAGTGAAGGGGAAACTTATATAAGTGCTGTGTAGCTGTGTGATACTTCACTTACTTAGTTTCTGGCCTTTAGACATTTGCAATGTGTGACATGTGAACAGTGGTGGGAAATGCCCTTCCAATTGCTTTCCATGATACTTCAGCAAGGACTTTGCAAATCTGGCTAATTCTTTGAAGACTCAGATTTCCATAGGATGCAGAAGAGCAGTGTTGATGGGATCTGTCACTTGACAGTGTGCGGTTTTAACACACTTATATTATGCAGCCACCTCTGTTAGTTTTCTTTTTCTGAGACATACTTCCCTTGCAGGTTTGCTATGCTCGAGTTCTTGATTACAGAAGAAAATTCATTGAGGCTGCCCAGAGATACAATGAGCTCTCCTATAAGAGCATAGTCCATGAAACTGAGCGACTGGAGGCCTTGAAGCATGCCTTGCATTGCACTATTTTGGCATCAGCAGGTAAAATTCACCTCATTTTTTTGTATAAAAGACCCAACATAGGTGTTTCCCTGAAGCAAGTCAACTTGTATGTTACTTGTGGGGAGGTAATTTGTCACTAAGATGTGGTGAAGAAGCCAAAATCGCAAACACGGTGTCAAAATGACCTGTTGGCAAAGTGTTAGCTCAGCTGAGTTGGATGAGTTGAGTGTCTTTGCCAGAAGGTGGCATCTTGGCTGAAAATGCAAGAGATAGTGGCAAACAGTGTTTTGGAACTGAACACAACCCATTTCCTTCTTCAGTAGAGCCTCATTGGCTGTTGTTTGCTTGTAGTGAGAAAGAAGGATGATCCCTTTCTGCTGGTGCTTTGGGGATCACCTCTGAAGGTTCTTCCTGCCTTTCCTAGGACAGCAGCGTTCTCGCATGCTTGCCACGCTCTTCAAGGATGAGAGATGCCAGCAGCTTGCAGCCTATGGGATCCTGGAAAAAATGTATCTGGACAGAATTATCCGTGGAAACCAACTGCAGGAGTTTGCAGCTATGCTGATGCCTCACCAGAAAGCGACTACAGCTGATGGTACATGTTTCTCTCAAACCTCACAGTGCTCCATGTTCATCCATGGGAGTTAGACTTGCCAATTTAGAAGTGTGTGATGGAAAAGAATTTAGTGTTGCTTACATCATTATTTAAAACTTAATTGGAGTTTCACAGTAAAGCTTCTTAGCTAGAGTTCATCGTTCTGATTTGCCATAAAGTTTTTTAAATACTCTTCTGGAAGACAGCTTGACAATTTTTTTCTCTCTGTCCATGTCTTCTTCACTGACAACCTTACACTATTTCTATCCAAGTCTCTATCCTCCTGAATTTCTCCAGTTCTAAGGCATTGATACAAACATAAAGAGGGTGGCTAGAAACAGGACATGAATGTAGGCCATAAATGGTCTGTGCAGATGATAAATTTATTTGAAGTGCATCCTGACTTGACAGGAAGGTGACAGAGAGTGAGGGGACAGTTTGGACTTCACTCTGTGTCCAAATTGTTTTCTGAACCATCTCACATCTTACTAGCTCTGGAACCTCTGAACAGTAAGAAATAATGTCAAGTAATGACTTCACTGGAATGCTGAACACACTGATCTCAGTTTTCTAAATCAGAAGAATATCAAAGTGGAAAAATACATAAGCATGAAATATTTCTTAGGAGAATCTTCCTAGTGAGCAATAATTGTTGATTAAGGAGAAATAATTCCCTATGTGACTGCAGAAGTGAAAACTGGATTAAAGGTACTTTGCTGACAATATGCTTCAGTCTTCCTTGGGTCAATTTGTTTTTCATGTATAACCTCAATTCAGGCACTGAATTTAGTAGCAAGGGCTCCACTTGATTATTCTAGAAATGAAATAAAAGGGTTTAAACTCTGTCTTAAAATCAACCACATGCCTTCCCTTTGTGTTCACTGTGCATAGCTTAGCACTGATGCAAGGCAGATGCACATGCAACACTTGGGGGAAAAAAATCAGCATTTTTTCATCTGCATTACAATATAAACCAGTATTTCAGTCTTATAGTAATGTTTGGTTTGGTTTTTTCCTCATCTAACTCTTAAGGTTCCAGTATCCTGGACAGAGCTGTTATTGAACACAACTTATTATCTGCAAGCAAACTTTACAACAACATTACTTTTGAAGAGCTTGGAGCATTACTAGAGATCCCTGCAGCCAAGGTACCTATTTTCTACATGTTTTGTTGTTCTGTTTTTTTTTAAAGTCAAGGAGTATCAACAACATGAGAAAACAGCTGTGGTAAATACTAGGAAAATCACAGAATCAGTTTGGAAGGGACCACAATGGTCATCTGGTCTAGCCTCCCTACTCGAGCAGGGCAGGCCTAGAGCACATGGCTCAGGGTATATTATAGTATAATAATATTTATAATAACATGTAATATTTAACTATAACTAGTTAACTCTTAGGGAATGATTAAATATTCCATGTGGAATGAATAGCAGTGGAGTTAGATGCCACTGATACTGTGTCTAATTGTTTCATTGTGGGCATGTTACCTGTAGGTTCCTTTCCCCCAAGGTGTGGAGATAGTGAAAAACCCATAAGACTGTCAGATCTTTATAAATTTAAACTTCTTTCAGAGCAGATAAAGTTTCTAACATCTCCCTTTCTTGCTGCAGGCAGAGAAGATAGCGTCTCAGATGATAACTGAGGGTCGCATGAATGGGTTTATCGACCAGATCGATGGAATTGTTCATTTTGAGAGTAAGTTCAACCACAGCCTTTTGGTTTTTTAGCAGCTTTCACGCTGAGCTTTTCGAGTTGGTGCCTGACAGGCTGAGGAAATTGTTTCTTAATCACTTGTCTGAGGTGAGCTTGTTCATCTTGCTGTGCCCAGGAGGTGGCAGCGTTTGCCATAATGGAGAGCCTTTGGCATTTCACCCACGCCCTGTTCTGCATCCTCTTACCCACAGACAAGTGGGAATTTATTCCATCAGTCTCCTTGTAGAAGCAGGTTCACCAGGAAGTGCTCTGTTCAAACCTCCTTCAGTGCAGGAGTTAGGCCTATAACAAACAGCCAAAATAATTGTAGCTTTTGAATACAGAAACAAGCCTGATGTAGTTGCAAGGAAAGCTTCCTCTGTGAGTTAGGTGAATCAGTGGCAAAAGGGAAGACAAGGGAATTGCTAAGACTTACTTTGTTTAGTATGGGCCTTTTTTTTTTTTCAGCTCGTGAAGCTTTGCCAACTTGGGACAAGCAGATTCAGTCACTGTGTTTCCAGGTGAACAACCTGCTGGAGAAGATAAGTCAGACAGCCCCAGAGTGGACAGCACAGGCCATGGAGGCCCAGATGGCTCAGTGACTGTGTGCTCAGTGTCAGAATGGAGGCAATGAACGGCCTGCTGTGCCTGAAGAAGGGAACTGACTAGGACTGTGAAACAAACAAATAACCCGCCTTCACTTCCCTATCTTCTGCTTTCACTATGGGTTAGGACACAGTTAGATGATACCATGTTTGGTGTGACAGGCCCCCAGCTCTCTGAGCTTAGAATGATGCTGCACTCTGCTTAGATTGATGCTGTTGCTGCCTCTGCGTTGCACTCTGCTGTCCTGAAAACTGTGGTTTCCATGTAGAAGCAGCTTTGAGTTTATTTAATTTTTTCCCACTGTGTTGCTGTAGCTTTGTAGCCTGTTACTTCCTGTGATGCTTGTCCTGCTGTGAAAATAGAAGTGCCATGTTTCTTTTAGTTGTAATTATTCTAATAAAGGCTGTAATAAGCCACTTGGTTTAAGTGTTGTAGGGACCTGCTTTTTGGGGCGTTTTGTTTTCTTTTGGTTTGGCTTTTTTCTTAATAACTTGAAATAAGTAGAATTTTTGTGCAGGGTCCTACATCTGGACCGTGGCAATCCCAGGCACACCTACAGGTTGGGTGGGGAAGTAACTGAAACCAGCAGTATGGAGAAAGACTTGGGCATGACAGTGGATAAGAAGCTCATCATGAGCTGCAGTGTGAGCTCAGTCCAGAAAGCCAAAGGAATCCTGGGCTGCTTCCAAAGGAGTGAGGGCTGCAGCTTGATTTTTCTCCTCTGCTCTCCTGAGACCCACCTGGAATACTGCACACAGTTCTGGTGTCCTCAACATAAGAAGGACATGGAACAGTTGGAGCAAGTCCAGAGAAGGCCACGAAGTTGCTAAGAGCACTGGAGCATCTCCCCTATGAGGACAGGCTGAGGGAGTTGGGGCTGTTCAGCCTGGAGAAGAGAAGGTTGTGTGGAGACCTCAGAGCAACTTTTCAATATCTGAAGGGCCTCCAAGGAGCCGGAGAAGGACTCTGTGTTAGGAACTACAGTGATAAGACAAGGGGAAATGGGTTCAAACTGAATGAAAGGAAATGTAGGTTAGATATTAGGAAAGAGTTTTTCCCTGTGAGGGTGTTGAGACACTGGAACAGGCTGCCCAGGGATGTGGTGGGTGCTACAACCCTGGTGGTGTTCAAGGCCAGGTTGGATGAAGCTTTGAATAACCTGATTTAGTGAGGCGTCCCTGCCCATGGCAGGAGTTGGGAGTAGATGATCTGTAAGGTCCATTCCAATCCCTGAATTCTACAATTCTATGATTTTAAGCCCCTGAAAATGTTAAATGAAAACCAGCCTTTTTCCTTTCTCCTTTATTTATAAAGCACAAGTCTGAAATCTTAACTTGAAGGAACTACTGAGCCTTCTGCATTGGTGGTGCAGCAGGGCACAGAGTTATCTGTGCTGGGAGATGGGGTGAAGGCCAGTGTTCCCAAGAGAGCTTGTTCTAGGGATATGGTAAGTGATGAGAACACAGCACATGCCTAGGAAGGTGAGCCAAGCACACTGTTTTATTTTCTAGGACAGCACTGGTAGTTTTACAAAAGCATCCAGAGTGGTTTTTTGGAACTGGAGGTGTAACAGGAGACTCTGACAGGTAGGGATTGTGCACTAGAAAGATTAAACAACTTTTGTAAGGGGAGTGGCTGGAGAATACTGTGCAGCTTACTTATATAATGAGATACAACAACTAGGTAAAGGTGTCTTACGTTCAGCAGCCCTAACTTGAAATGCTTATGCACAGCAATGAAGTACCAAAGTGGCCCTTCTGATGTTTATCAGTCTTGAGTTGGGCAGTCTTTACTCATCCGAGTGGTTTGTCAGATATATGTTTAAAAACCATGACAAACATTTGAGTCTTCAGAGACTTATGCTTTGTTATCTCCTTTCTGTTGGAAAATCCATGCACTCAATTGCATGTGTAGCTGCATAACTTGGATCCACCCAACTTCATACTTAATTCTTTAACTGCTTACAGAGACAAAACCAAGTTGGCTGATGAGGCAAACATTCCAAAAGAAAGGACTTCCCTAAGGTTTCAGGACTTCCCTAAGGAGCAAGTACTTGCTATCAAATCAAAGTCTGGCCCAGGAATGAACAGCATGCACACTTCTACACTTGCTGTGCTTATCTGGATTCATAAAGAGGTGTCTTGTTTCAAGGCATCTTGCTACTAGTACCCAGTAAAAAACTGTCAAGGAGTTTAGACCCAATTACAATGTTACTCTTTGCTGGGCAAGCATTGCACATCTTAATCCAACAGCATCATAAAAGGAAGAGCAAAGTGATGACATTAGTGGTGTTCCTCTTCACTGCTGAAGAGTAGTTTGACCACATATTTTCAAGTGAAATCACTTGTAACTTGTTCAAAGTGGTACTGGGTGAGAATTTTCCCTCCCTCCAAGAGAAATTCCAACCTAAGTCAAAGGGCACAGGGCACTGTGGCATTGACCAGGGGTGTCTGGTCACCCAGCGGCTGCAGGAACTGATGGAGAATGAGAGGATCCTGGACTACATATCACCACTGGAACTGGTGCACGGGCTGTGAGGGTACAAAAGCCCCAGGGATTTCTTAGTTCAGGGTGCTTCCCTGGAAACACCATTTAAGATCTTGCTGCACCACAATTACAGGAACCAGAGGTGGGACTCTGCTATTAAGAAGCCTGAGGTCGAGCTGGTGAGGGAAACCTGTGTGAGTGTGGGGTGTGTAGGGCTTTGGTCCCAGCAGTGACACTCTGGGAGTGACTGCCAGAGTGGCTTCTGGATGGTCAGACAAGGAAGTTTCCTTAACAAATACGTGGATAGAGTAGTGCTAACCCCTCTGAGCCCATGCCCCACTGCTGTCTTGGATATCCTTCCTGCTTCACCCAGGAGCCAAACCCAGCAGCTCCCCACTAGATGGAGAGCTAAACACACATAACCGACCTTGAGGCCTCAGCTCTTGTGGAAAGCTACCAGCACATCCTCAGTTTTATTTTGTGATTAAACTGTGTTCATCCATAGCAAGCACAGAAGAACAAATGAATGAACCTCTGGGCTTTAGATTTGTGAGCCTTTAGCTGTGCTCAGAGCATGTTGCAAAACTTGCTTCCCATATGCAGAGCTTGGGTTGTGCTTCTGTACTTCAGCTAAGAGTTGCTTGGTATCATAAAGTTTTCCCTCCACCAGAGCTAAAAAAGACAAGACTTAGCTCAGAGTAAGGGAGTAAACATTACCACGGAGCTTTGCACAATAATTCAAAACAGTAGAATCACAGAATTTAGGGGTTGGAGTGGACCCTATAGATGATCTAGTCCCAACCCCTGCCCTGGGCAGGGACACCTCCCACCAGAGCAGGTTGCTCAAGGCTCATCCAACCTGGCTGTGAACACTGCCAGGGTTGGGGCAGCCACAGCCTCCCTGGGCAACCTGGCCCAGGCTCACACCACCCTCACAGAACGAAAACTTTTTCTTAATATCTAACCTAAATTTCCCCTCCTTCACTTTGTACCCATTGTCCCTTGTCAAAACTATTATATATTTGAAAGTATAATGTGAGACTGAATTTAGGATTAATGGGGGTTTGGTGGTTTTACAGTGGTTTGTTTTCAATAAAAGTTGGAACTGTAAGTTGAGTACACTTAATTACATTAATCTAGTAAAATCTAGTAAAAAGGCTTTCTTTGAAGAAACCTGAAAACAGTGTAAATAAGCTATTAGGGAGACAACACCCATGCAAATCCAACTCCTCCTTTTTAAGGGTTAGGGACTTTTCTTTACACATGATAAATGATTTGCTTATGAAATGAAATTTTTTTTCTTTGCAGTAGTGACTAACTTTATTATTCTTTGCAAAAATAATCCAAAAGCAATGTAAAAGAAGTTACTAGACTAAAAAAATAGGCAGTCAGCCTTGGTTCATAGTGAGTTCACAACAGTTTTGTTTCAACAATGTAAATAAGGGCACACAGTGATAGGACAAGGGAGAGTAGCTTTAAACTCAAAGAGAGTAAGTTTAGATTAGATATTAGGAAGAAATTCATTACTGTGAGCGTGGTGAGGCACTGGCACAGGTTTCCCAGAGCACCTGTAGATGTTCCATCACTGGAAATGTTCAAGGCTTTGAGCAACCTGGACTAGTGATAGGTGTCCCTGCTCATGGTAGGGGGGTTGGAACTAGGTCAGTTACCACGCTCTAATCAAGCAATTGATTTCTCTTCACACCATACTGTGAGTGGATTGTTTGGGATAATGATTGATGACATGTGTTATCAGTTACCACCTAGTTTGGGGTGAGTCCTGCCATGGTTATCTTTTTGTTGGCTTTCAACTGCTGCAATCATAACTTCTATACTTCAGGGTACACAAATGCTTCCACTAATGTCTGTATGGGGCTTTATTTCTAGATGCAAAACACTACACTGCCACTGTGACTTTGCCTTTAAAACATGCATTGTGGGTGCACACCTGAGCACCCTTAAGGGATCATGTCATGATTAGCATTACTAGCTGCTGAGTGTTTTCAAGGGCCAGGGAGCATAAAAACTGCCTTCTCCAGCATATTCTGCTTGACTGGTTTCTGCTACATGTGGGTAGTTCCAAGTTACTGCACAAACTATAGAAGGTAAGGTATAGTATTCTGTAACTGTTTCACATGATCACACTCCAAAACCAGCTGCAATTTTCTGGTCTGAAGAAGGGGCAATAGTCACTTTCTATAGTCACTATTGCCTTGCTCATCTGTGTTGGGTTTGTGTTGTTGTGACTCCTTATAGCTTCTAGCATTATAGGCAGTTATATGACTAGGTTTTTGTTCTTTGAGTTAGCAAGGTTTTTATCTGAAAACAGTTGTCATTATGTATTTCTACTTTATATTAAGGGATAAAAATAGGGAAGAAGAGTTGGAGAGTTTTTTCAACCCTCATATTCCTTTATTTATCATCTCCTTCTTGAAAGCGAAGTACATCCTAAGATACAAGTTCTGTCACTCCCCAGGTGAGATGTCAGGTCTCTTGCAAAGCTTATACTTGTACAAGTAGAGATTCATAATAAGAATTAGAAAAACCAGAGACTTAAAATGGAAAAAGCAGTGCTTGTCTCACCTGTGTTGTGTTACTATGTTCACAACCACTTTGAAGCACTTTGGGGACTTAAAGCACTGATGTGGTGTGGTACAGTTTTAAGCCTGAAATTGTGCTG